TGAATACTGGTCAAGATTCTCCTATCTTTGCAAACGTTAGACTTCTAGCGATCTAAATCATCCACTTTGTTATAAAAATGGCTTGCGAAAACGCAACTGATTATGATTACAAAGTAGTCGATAGGGACAGTGTTCTCCTGGAAGCTACCTCTGAAATCAAACAAAAAATCGCTGAGAGGAACACTCTTCTAGCCGTTGATTGTGAGGGAGATTCCTTGAGCAGGAAGGGAGCCCTCACCGTCATCACAGTAGCAACTGAGGAGAAAGTGTACATATTTGATGTGCAAAAATTGGGTCAAGTCGTTTTCAGCGGTGGACTTGGCGAAATCCTCGAGGACAGCTCACGAGAGAAGCTGATGTTCGATTGCCGACAAGACTCTGACGCGCTATGGCATCAGTTTCAAGTTAAACTTAAAGGAGTCTTGGATATTCAGCTCCTTGAAATCATCTATCGCCGTGAAAACCCTTCAGAATCTACAGCTCGTACTCCCCAAGTTTCCACTAGGAATAAACGCGGTTTTCAGTCCAACCGCCGCAGTCAGAGAATACACGAAATAGAAAAATTGTATGGTTTTGGTCGTTGCATTGAGTTGTACCTACAGGATGAAAAATTGTCCAAAGTAAAAGACAAAGGGAAAGAGCTGCTAGAGGAAGATAAGAAAGTCTGGATAAAAAGACCACTGACGGATGCTCTTATACAATACTGCATTGTGGATACCATGGCCATGTTCAGGTTGTACAACAAGATGAAGGATGTGAATGGAGGGGAAAAGTCCCGTCTTCGAGTTGCATCCGAAAAGTATGTCGGTCTGTACCGAGACAAATCAGAAAGATCCTTTGATGAGTATGAAACAAACGGGTACCTTCCTCTTGACATCATCCCCGAGAAAGGAACTCTGGATTTTCCTGTCGTTAACACAGCATGTACTTGCTGCGATCGACTATTTCCAAGGGAAGAATTCAGTGTAACACAGCTGAGGAAAGGAGAGCAGAAATGCAGGGTATGCAAGGAAATAAAACGCCTGGATGATGTGCAAAGAAACAGAGAAGATAATTGGGAGCGTGCTGCCCGCGCTGAGGAAGAGTGTGTTTATATTCCTGAAGGAATGTCTGACTATGCGTTTGTTTACGGCCACGAACCCTGGGAGACCTTCTCAGACTACTGGTGAACATACCTTTACGAGACCATATGGAGAGTCGCTGTGAAGACTGCAATCGAATCCTAAAATACTTTGTATCTTTTAATAATCACTATAAATACCTCATGGTAGACTCTAGTAAGACCAGTCTTAGTAAAATGATCATAGCCGCGAGCACCTGATGTTTTAACATTTTTACCATTCAATCAATTTTGTCTTCGTTTACATTGGCCGTAGGGAACAGATGTCACGAGATTACGGCACCGAAAACCGTAACGGCTGTAAGTGGACTAAGGTGTACACCTGCCATCTTGAATCCTATGACTTTACTTCCGGTTTACAAGTTGTTATGATTTGTCACGGCAGCCATTTTGAATTTATTACAAAGAGACATGACTTGGATTAGTACAAATAGCTACAACTGTGGAACGCATACCTATTATTATAGCTTAACTAGTTAGGGAAGCTAAACTAGCCAACATTGGAAGCTAAACTAGCTAATATTTACCTTCTTCCCACAAAAGATTTTTAATGGATATTTTCATCAATGAATCGATAAAAAGTGCCACTTTGCACGGACTTTGTGACTTAATTGTTAATATCTCTGTTTATGTGTCGTAACTAGAGAACAGTGCATGTGCTTGACCAATTTATTTTCATCTCAGCTTACTCATAAAAATATCACCACGTTGATCAGTTTCTTAGCCAGATCGGTGGAAAGTTCTTGGCTTTGCTTTAACAAGTTTTTTCAACACGATCTCGAGTGTTTTCAATAACCGACATTTCTCCATTTTTCCCGAATACTAACGCAGACTTGTTATCATCTTCTTTGAAAGATACATTCCTGTTCACTTTCTTATTCAAACGAACATCAGCAAGGAATTCCGACAGCTCAGTTAAGGAGCGCTGTAAATTCCGTTTGAAATTCTTCTTGAAAAGTACGTAAGTGAATGGATCCAGAACGAAATTGAAGATCACAAGTCTGAGGGAGAGGTTATCCATTACGGTGCTTGGATACGCCCGAAAGATGTTACAAAAGAGCCGGACCTGAAAAAAGAAATCAGCGAATAAATGACTGGTATTAATAATCAGGTAAAGCTGACGTGTTGCTTTGTCAACAATTCAGATATGTACTGGATCGAAAGCAAGGACGAAAATTTGTTTCAATTACAAGATTTACAAAATTTACGAAGTTTTGATCTTGCATGAAACACTGTATATAAAATCGATGGGAAAATGGATGATTAAGTTTCAAGGATGGCCGTGATCAAAAGGACAAAAACTGTGAAAATTACCAAAATTAAAAAGGAACAAAGATGACAAAATTTGGTAACCATGGATAAAAATCGGTAAAGAAATACAAGTAAGGTTCAATGACGGTCCAACATGACACAAATATATTACATTCTCAGTGACAGGTCAAAAACAATAATAAAAAAGAGGGATTGAAAAAATTGTAAACATTATGAGTACTGCCTGAAAACTACCACATTTTGCAGGCCTTTCGGCGAAATGTAAGTGAGGTTAAGATGGACACCAATGGGAGTTGCAAAACTCGACAAAACTGCGAAAATTAAAAATTTTGTGAATGTTGCGTCCGCTCGCAAATCCCGGGATATTTTGGTGTTGTCGATGGACAAGAAATTGAATGGGTGGTGTCAGTGGGGCAATTCGATCGTTGTTAGGCGTCCACGTGCATCGTGGGCCCATGACTAGAAATAAAAGGACTGGTGCATGAGCTTACCGTTACTGGTAGCCAAGTAAAAAGGAATACAATAGAGGCCAAAGCCACAAACTTTGCCATCCTTTCTTCCTGTCGGAAAGCGAATCTCCGCGCACGGCGTTTAGAATTCATATCCGAAGGCAGGACCGCTGACATTCGTCGTCTGATACGCACCACAATGACTAAAACGGTGGTATTTGATACAGTCATCACGGTAATCAATGTTACGCCACAAACTGCTATGGCCAAGGAATTAACTGTTTCAGTAAGTGTAACTGGGAACCAATCAAACTGACAAAACGATCTGGAACTTTGGTTGAATTTGTACTTTCCAATACCAAAGAATGGAAGAGCCGCCAACGCTAGACAGAACATCGTGAGAAATGCACAGATTGTCCGCGAAAGCAAAGGGGTGGCGTGTTGCTTATAAAAGAATGGTTTGTACAGGGCAGCCACTCGATCCAAAGACATGGAAGTGACCACAGCACCTGAAGATAATCCAAATGCTGTCGTGAAGAACGCCTGGTGAGGAAAAAAAACAATCGCCATTAATTCTGTTAGTTTTTAAATACGATGGTCGTTGAATGAGTAAAGCTGCGTCTTTTAGGATGTTTGTAAGCCGATCCGGCCTGCTAGCAACTCCTGACAAATTAAGCATAATTAGCGGTTTAACGTGACAAGCAAAGCGCTTAACTGACTTAGAGCAACAAATTAAACTTGCTAGGTTAAACATGGCAAACTATAGATCGTCGTGACAACTTTAAGCAGGGAAAGAATGAGTTGAAAGGAACACCGACAGAAAAAAAGATATATCAGAAAATACGATGCAAGGGCGCACGGATTTGAAACAGGATACAGCTTCATATGACACAAATGACAAGGGGAAGATTATACCAAACATTTTGCGCTGGGAGACATCGCCTATGACAAGTGCAAATGTGTAAATGGGGACTGCGGAAAAAGATAATCTAAGTTGGCTGAGGTAAAACAGATAACTAAACGAAACTCACTGCCGATGACTTCGCATCCTATTCTCTTCATCACTTATTGTAATTATCGGGAGAAATGATGTGTTAAATTGTTTTAAGGGTTCTTTTGAGGAACAAACTTCAAATAAAAACGCGCTTTTGTTATTTTGAGAAGCCCTGAGGTTCTAAAAGTTAGGTCTTTTATCAATTCGTAAGCGCTTCGTAAGGATGTAGGGAAAGTGAGACCTCAAGGAAAAAATTCTGAGAACGAAAAACAAAAGATACACCTGTAAGCCGCATTGTGGCGAGTCTCTCATCCATTCTGAACCTTTCAAAAGACCATGGAACACGATCACTGAAGTGGAGAACACGCCAATGAAATCTACCCAGACCAAGGCACTCACAAGGACCACTGGTGGATTCTTCCCGATGAAGAAGTCTCTTCCGAGAGCGACCAACGCCAAACTACAACCAATAAGCGCGCTTGCTAACACAACGATTCCTATTATAACTGCTTTATCTTCCTGTGTTTCATCGGCTGGTGCTTCTTTTGTACAATGTAGGGTGGTGTTGAAAATGGCCATCGTCGTTAATCAACTGTGTATCAGTTATTGTAAAAGTTGATACTTTTGTTCAAACAAAATTAAAAAGAAACTAATGAATATCATAACTAAGTGGCCGTCAGGACTCGTCTACAGTGCTCCTGAGCGTCCAAAATGGCTGGCAGGTACAAAATGTCGTCGCTTTGATCTAAGCTCTCTTTCTTCTCTTTATAATCCTGTTTTCCCGTCTTCCTTGTCGACAGCTGTTGCGGGAGAAATGCCTCGATACTTTTCGAGCTTTCGCATTCGAAATTACGTTTACAAGAATAAACTGAGCTATTAATTCGACTTTTAAAGTAGTCCTTGTAGATAAAAGTTTACGAGGAAACAACCAGGTGAGACCAGAAGCAAATGTTGCAATAATCTCAGTGTTTTCTGACGAGGTGGATAAATATCTACCGCTTCTAACTTGTGCGTAAACTAACCGTCAACACCACAGAGGAAAGTTTCACCGCTAACAAGGTGTTAGACAACAGACTTCTCTTTTGATTGATAAATATTCTCTTGGTGTTATCATTTCACCATCCAATTGGCTCCTAATATCAATGTTATTCCGTAACTGTTTGTCTTGTGAGCCGATACGAATTCGACCGCCGTTTGGCTTATGTATTATCAGAAACCACGCAAATTTAATCATCTGGGAGAATTTCCACCACGGACGTTGAATTACGCTCATAAATTAAAAATAAGTGTGATTGTTTCCAAAACTAATAGAACGTCCGAAACGGAAGATTTTTTTAAAATTTGCCGTTAATATTTTACAACTAATTTCCTTTTTTTCCTTTGCACGAAATTAAAAACAGATATTGACGTCAATAACCACAAAAGAAGTTGCGCATAATTCAACTTACTACAAACGTATACATGACTTTATCATCTAAAGTCGACAAAAGTGTTCATAATAGCTTTTGTGGTTTTCCAAACTCACGGCTATAGTGTACGATAAAATGGCAAGTTTCCTTTTCTAGCCGGGATATATCCTAATCACATACACTTTGAATTCCTCAAAGGTGACTGGTGCATTAGCTTCTTTATCTTTCAATAATTATTCTGTAGAGTTGAAATCGCATCGCGCGATCGGAAAGTTTGCGATAAACCTGTAATCGGACAGTTAAAGTAGGTCCACTCAGCTAAATCCAGCAGTCACAGAATTGATTAAAATAACTGTAGGAAGATCTCTCGCAACAACCACTTACCCGAAATACTGGTATCTTCAGATGCAATATTGCAATCACTCGCATAATTACAGACCGAACTAGACTCCTGTCGTTCCTGTTAACATTGTTAATAATTTATTGGCACAGCTAAGGTCTTCAAACATTAATAACATAGATGGCTTTGAGAATGCGAAACAATGACATAAAATGCAAAGAAAAGCCATCCAGTATAGCTTTCAAATATTTATTTCACAACCTTCTCCTGAACATGACAGAAATCCTCGATAGACAATATCCTCGATACACAATATCTAAAACTTTTGTATTTGTATTATAGCAATTCGTTATAATTAAACCAAAATAATCTCAACGCACTCTTCTTATCTCTATCGACCATACGTCTCGATTCTGGGCTTATTCCGCGTTATTCCAACTCGCACGTTCATCAAGATAAATAGCTGCCTTTATTCTAGAATTCGATGCTTGACAGTTAGCTAACCATGGAAGTTCCACGCCCGACCTTCGGTGGAATTTTTTTTCTTGGAAGTGCAACTAAACAGCCAGAAAATATTGGTAAAAAAAAACCAAACAGAAACCAAACAGAATAGTGGTGCGCACCGAGAGGGATCTAGAGAAGAAGAGAAACGCGGCGACATTGGACAATAGTCACGAGTTGGAGTAAGACACTTCCAAAATACACATGACCCCTGCTTTGAAACAAGGGTTATACAACGCTTGCGATATAAAAATAATTAATTAATGTGATCCAAGCAAAACTTATTTTCACAAGAAAAGTTTGCGTTCGACCCAGTTTGAAAATAAATCTGTATTTAAGGGTCAGAGATGGCTGGCGGCTGTTCATATGACCCTTTTCTTTTACTCCTTACAAGCTACAGATATGTCTTCCCTACATCATAAACAAGTTTCCTTTGCCACAATGTTTTCCTTATGACAAAGCTCAGAGTTTCTTGCTACTTGAATAGTTTCTCTCTGTTTGGAATACGATCTATTTTTGAACAGCGGAACCAAGAACATCACACACGTGGAAAGTACCGTGACCACACCTGCGCTGAAGAACGCTACGTTGTAACTTTGGGTTACGTCATATATCCAGCCAGCAATGGACGGACCCGCGGTCATGGGAATGGAACGAAAGCAGAACAGTGATCCAAGAGCGAAGGCTTGCTGTTTCTTTTCTACCAAGTCTTGCACAATTAACGGTAAGGAAATCACAAAACATCCCTCCAGAAATCCAAAGAGGAAAGCATAAGTTGCTAACCATTCATAATTAGTTGCTATGGGAACGAGTGTTGTAAAAACACTTAAAAGTAGAAGTGTTATTTGCAACGCAGTCAGACGGTTTACATAGCGCATGTCCATTAGCTTTCCAAAAAATGGCCGCACTATCACTGATCCAAACGCCACAAAATTGATCAGGAGGGCTGCTTGGATAGGGTCGATGCCAGAGTCTTCAGCAAGTCTAACCTGTCCATAAAGGAAAAAAATGGAGAAATCAGAGTAGAAAAAAGAAAGGTAACCTCGCTCCTCTGTATTTGTATATGTGCTGTAAAGACCCCGCAGAGAGTGCAGTGCGTCCCAGAACGATATTGACTGACCATGCACGCTGGTACTGTATTATATAGACAATCTCAGAAGGCACACACCCTTTCTTGGACAAATTTTGTTTGAGCCACAAAAACAAGGTGCAGTTTCCTTAGTCTTGAATCTTTAACAAGAAATGCAAACAAAACAACAATGGAGAGCATAAGTAAGGCCGAATTAATAGATCGACTTACCAAATGCACGTATGGTACCAAATAGGTAGGCATAAAGAGGCATAACGCTACTACAAAAGTCATATAACCTTTGTTCTTGAATATTGTCCAGTCAAACCCACTTTTTCTTTCATTTTTGATGTGCAGTTGGTCTGATTTAGAAGGAGGAGAAGGAGGAGGAGAAGGAGCAAGTCTGATCATAAATCCACTAAACATAATTACAAGCTGAATCCCAGCTAATATTTGAAACGTTCTGGCCAACCTAACTCTTTGCAGCAGATAAGCAACAAATGGAGTCAGAGCTAAAGTACCAACTGGTGCGCCAAAAAATACAATTCCATTAGCTAAGCCGATTCGCGCGCTAAAAAAATGTGGAAGCACAAACAAAGCAGCACAGTTACAAAGACACGAACCAAATCCCCAGACTAAGCCGTAAGTTAAATAAAGTACGTAGATGTTCGGAGCAAACGAGGAAGTAAACATCCCAACTGCGCATATCACTCCACCAAGCATGATGACATTAGCAAATCCAAACCGGTTACCAAGGATGGCGGGAATCATTGCAAATCCATCTGACACACCGGCTGCCAGAGCTGTTACCCAAGCTAAGGAGATAAGAACACACTGTCACTGACAATGCATGAATGAATGAGCGAGGTCGTTTTTTATTGTTAAAATAAATAAATAAATAGATGAAATAAAACTCTTAGACGAAACGCACAAGCCTGAGATTTACGTTCCGACGGATTTCACCGAAAGGGAAGGGACTGCTAGTAGGTAAGGTAACGTTTTAGATCATAATCATATCGGATAGATATCTGATAGTGTCAGACGATTGGTAAAAATTTCTTGCGATGCTTGAATGGTGCTCTACGTCTACAGCACCTTCAGCACACTGACAATGTTGGTATCGTTCGTCCTCTTGTCAATCAAGTGAGCTCTCTAACCAAATCACACGTCCGGACACTTTTTCATTCCACTGTTACTCGCCTGACAGTCAGTAAATTTCAAAGAAAATTACGAAAGAAAAAGAAGATATAGCATTTATTAAGCATCTGTCAGCTAGTTTTTAGTGCTTAACGACCATGTTCAATTAGATTGAAAACACAAGGGAATGAAAAGTCATATCTTTCTACAGAAATGTGGTAAAAGGAAAAAAAGTATGAGGCACATGACAATTACTCAAGAGGATGAGATCTCTTTTGTAATCGTAACACAAGGAGCCCATACTCACACGATGAGTCTGCGTATACATGTAAAGATGTTTACGATGCGCAGTGCGGGAAATATAAGGATTTGCACGGAAATAAACGGTCGATCTCACAACCGAAAATATTTGAACTGGATTTGAGTAAAAACAAACTTACCTTGCTCAAGAGGTTGTTCCTTAGTATCGTGTGAGTTTTCTGGGCTGATGTAGGGCCGTTTAGATCGGTTTTAGTTCATTTGCTTTGCCCTTCGCTCCGAAACGTCAGCTCAAGAAACTCTACACGGTAGCCAATTATAAGATAAACTAAATCCGAGCTAAGAAGCCCTGAATCAACCCAGTTTTTCGTTTGTGAGCGGGGCGACCTTTTATTTCCACACAAATCATTATATTTGGCCCATCGCGTAACGTAAACATTGTGCGCGATCGCAAATATCCACATCTCCCGCTCTATATCGTGTGACGACCACTATCTAATATGATTTTGTGTTAGTGTACTCACTTGACATGGCTTATTGCAATTTTTCGACGTTCTTATCGGTGAATGACGAAGGGCAAACGATCGAAACGTCAGCTTTGAAACTCTTTATGGTGTTGTGTGATGACTGTAAATTGAAATTCAAGCTCGGGTGGCTAGTGTCGGGGTCGAGTCAAGCTCACTCACGTTTTCACCTCTTTTGAGTACGTACCAGTAGTGATTCTAACTGGATAGACAATTAGAATGTTAAAAAACGAAACAAGATTTCTTACCAGTTTGACTTCGGCTAGTGTTGTTGTATTCATTCAATACTGCCGTAAATATTAATCCAGAGAGGTTCCCTTGAGCACAAACGATGCATTGGATCAAAAATCCTGCAATGCATACTACCCACGAACAGCCACCATCAAAACGATCTTTTTCTGTGGCGCCCGAAGGAAAATTTGGGCTTCGCGTGATGTGTTCATGTCCTTCATCATCTCCATGTGCGGTAGCCATATCTTGTGGTCAGCTAAATGGCCGCAAATGGCGAAGAAATGGTTTGGCAATTCTTATGAAATTTTCTTAGAAAACCTCACATTGAATCCGTAAAAGTTGAGGTTTTTCCTCCGATCACTTACTTGCTAAAATTGACTGTGGTTTCCCCATACACGTGTGGAAATGGATATTCAAGTTTCCTTTGTTTGATAATTGATGGCTCGGCTCTGCGTGACCTGACAGACACGAGCTGATCGGATAATTCAAAGGATAATTGCAATTTTAGAGAGGGGTGGGTGGGTGGTAGATTTGTCATTACCTCAATATTTGATCTTACATTATCGCCACAAAGTTTTTTCCTTGACATTGAAATGGTACATTTTTTCGTGAAGCTTAGAGCAAGGTTTTCTTTTTTTCCTCGACCAAATCAGAAGAGATACCTCAGGTGAATTTATGGTTATACGATTCGCCTTTTACCAGGTAAACTTCAGAGTATAAAATCGTAGAGACCCATTTCAAGCGTGACGTCACATCACGCGACATTGCGAACTGGGGGACAAGCTTCAGTTTGTTTACAACATGGCGGCGAAAGCGACTACGAAGCGTGGGTTGTTACCCGGTTATTTTGAAAATCTACAGCAGAAAGAATCAAAGGAAAGGTATCTCGAAAAGTTAAAGTCTATCGAAGGACAAGATCCGTACGAAATTCCGCGCAAAGAGTGGATTGACGATGTCGATTGCTGGCCAGACGTAACGTACATAAACGTGGGGATGTATCTTCTGTTTCGAATCTTGTAGTATATATCTTTACATACCTGATATAAAATGGTCGCTGCAAACTCTTACAAAATCGCTTGGATTTGAAGAAAGATCATCTCTTCGTATCCTGGCTAGCCAAGTTGCTTGACATTCCTTACTAAGGGCTTGCTTTTCGTCGTTCGGTCTTGTTATTATCGCTGGCAGTCGAAAATAATTTCGATCCTTTTCTCTATTAGAACGATTTGAGCACCCATAAGCGGCACAAAAGTTAACCATGGAGCAAGAACTTCAAAATATTTTGCCTTATTGCTCTCTTCGATCGTAACGCGTAGTGGAATCAAGAGTTTGTTTACATTTGCTTGTCCTCCAGTTCGCAAAGTCACGTGATGTGACGTCACGCTTGAAATGGGTCTATAGCGAACACTACTTGAGCGGTAATGAAAATAAAGCCTGAAAAAAAAAAATTAAGGCTTGTACGGGAGTTGAACCCCTGACCTCTGAGATTCCGGTGCAGTGCTCTACCAACTGAGTAACAAGCCCACCTGATTACATTATACAAGAAGGGGTAGTAACACACACCCACACACACGCGCAAATATGCATGCTCTCTTTTGGCAGGCGACACATGCCAATAGCAGTCAGAAGTTGATTGAGTATTAGCATTAGCCCGATGCATTTGCCTTATTGCAGTTCTCGGCTTTGACGGTTTAACGTCGAAAGTATTAGTGACTTCTATTGCTCGCTCGTTCGGCGTTTTAATTTTCTCTTCATTTCTTATTCCGGCGAGAACGGAAACTAGATTTCTGACTTCCGTGTGCGCTTTCATTAGATTACATGTCGTCGACAGAAGGAGGACAAAAAGAGGTCTTGTATACCCCAATATGTGCTGACTTAAGACTGCTGACGTAATTAAGCTTAACTGTTCCATGGCATGAAGAAAGCTAGAGGCATCATGTGAATACTTGCCCGTGGATTGTCTCCACTTCGGCAACTGCGTCATAGATCTTCGGGTAGTTGGCTAACAGCGTGGAATCTACCCTGGAAAGCCATCGGGTATCACTCAGAGTTGGTAGACTCTCTTGGTGTTGGCTGGTTGTGAATAAGCTTTCTTCGTGCTCCTCTCTTGGGTATTTGAACAAAAAGTCATCCACTTCGGAAGCAGTAACTAATATCTCCTTAAGAATTCCCTTCTCTTAGCGGAATATGAAAAGAAGCGCTTTAAGCGCTTAGAACGCATGCGGATAAGCGCTATATAAGTGTTAAATGTTAAAATGTTAAAAAAGAAGAAGGTCAGCTCTTCAAATGTTATCATAAAGTTCCTGATTTTTTGTACTTTATTGCAGCTGGCAACAACGACCAGGTTCAAACAGGGACTCGAGTGGTGGTAAAAGTATCTAGCGTCAGGATAGCGCCTTGTTATCCTTGCTTGGACACATGCGCGTTCCCCACTAATGTTAGAGGTGCCACTAAAAGCCATCCCCCGTAGTCGATCGAGATGGATCCCCCATTGACTCAGGTTCTCGAGAAGTGATTCGGTTATTGTAGCTGCGTCAGTGGCGGGTAGTTCTACAAAACCAAGAAACAATTCATGTACAGCGATTGACAGGTGATAATCTGAACTAATTAAAACTGTCAAGTACGGACTTCCGATTTCTATCATTCGTTGATGTCATGAATTATGCAACTTAACAATAGGACAGACTGTCACACAATTAAATCGTTACACAATATGCTGGAACTTTCACGACAGAGGACAAATTGAATGAGGAGTCGACTGGGGACCACAAATGAATTGGCAACGAAATCAGTCTCTGTCCACTTTCTAAATTCATTTCGATGTTCCTTCTCTACAAACAAGTTTCCTTTGCTGCAATTATTTCCTTTTGATAAAGCTCAGGGTTTCTTAACAGCCGAGGAATTTCCTTTCGTTTGGAAAGTGACCTATCTTGGAAGAATGGAACCAAGAACATCAAACATGTGGAAAGTAGAGTGACGGCGCCTGCACTAAAGAACGCTATGTCGTAGCTGTGAGTTACGTCATAAATCCAGCCCGCGATCGAGGGACCAGCAGTCTTGGGAAGAGAACGAAAGCAAAACAGCGATCCAAGAGCTAAGGCTTGCTGGTTTTCTTCTACCAAATCCTGTACAGTTAAAGGCAATGAAATTACAAAACATCCCTCTAGAAATCCAGAGAAGAAGGCGTAAGTTGCTAACCATTCGTAGTTAGTTGCTATGGGAACGAGTGTTGAAGAAACACTTAAAAGTAGTAGCGTTATTTGCATCGCAGTCAGACGGTTTACATAGCGCATGTCCATTAGCTTTCCGAAAAATGGCCGCACAGTCACTGATCCAAAAGCTGCAAAGCTGACAAGAAGGGCTGCTTTGATTGAGTCGACGCCAGAGTCTTTGGCAAGTCTAACCTGTAGATAGGAAAAGAAGAGCAGCAAGTTTTATTTTAAAATCACCCCAATACTATGAATTTATGAAATGAACTTGCAGTAGCCAAGATGTTGTCTATTTACCAAATTTTACCCATTTTTCGCTTTAAAAAGGGTTCCAGAATCAACATAGCGAGCGCACGCTGAAAGAGAAGGTCCCCTTCCCTTTCCCGCTGAGGGAAGACTTTTTCCCGAGCGGCCTCTCAGCTTACCAGGCCGATTCAAATTCCAAATTTGTTGCTCGACAAATTAATGTCACGACGCATACATTCATATTAGTACATAAAGAAGAGGATATTTACCCCCCAAAATTTTTTGAGACTTTCAGAAACCTTGATACGAGATCCGGGATGTCTTACTGAACAAAAGTATAGCAACAAGGAATCTATCATGCAAAGAGTTTTAACAACCTGAAGAAAGCATCGGTATCACGGAGATGACTTACCAAATGTACATGCACTAAGTAGGCGGGCATAAAGAGGCATAACGCTACTACAAAAGTCATGTAACCTTTGTTCTTGAATATTGTCCAATCAAACCCACTTTTTCTTTCACTTTCGCTGTGCAGTTGGTCTGATTTAGAAGGTGGGGGAACAAGTCTGATCATAAACCCACTACACACAATTACAAGCTGAATCCCAGCTAATATTTGAAACGTTCTGGCCAACCCAACACTTTGCAGCAGATGAGCAACGAATGGAGTTAGAGCTAAAGTACCAACTGGTGCGCCAAAAAATACAATCCCATTAGCTAAGCCGATTCGCGCGTGAAAATATTAGGGAAGTACAAACAAAGCAGCAAGGTAACAGAGACACGCGCCAAATCCCCAGACTAAACCGTAAGTTAAATAAAGTACGTAGATATTCGGCGCAAACGACGAGGTAAACATTCCAACTGCACATATCACTCCACCAAGCATGATGACATTGGCAAATCCAAAGTGGTTACCAAGGATAGCGGGAATCATTCCAAATATCTCTGATACGCCCACTGCGATAGCGGTAACCCAAGCTGAGGAGACAAGTACTCAACGTCATGAACAAACAACTACAAAAAGAAATCCAAAGAACATTGCAGGCTAAAAACCTGACAAACTCTCTAAGTAAGGTTGGTATAAACAAATCACAGAGGCCTTCCTGTCGCATTCGATTTCGCGTGACTTATATCAACTAATGCAGCTGTCGTGTTATTGTCATGATAATGAAAAAAAAAAACCTCCTTACTTAGTTCATTAAATTATTAATTCATCATCACACAAAATTTTTCAGTCAGCACATTTGCAATGAAATAACAGTCAACTCTCCGCTAACGGACCCTCTCCTAAGGAGACAGTTCTACTTAGGGACATTCTTTTCAATTCCCGTTTTTGCCTCCCTAGCAAACTCTTTATTTAAACATTCTCGCTCCTTTTCTTGTTTACGCGCTCTCGTAAGCTGGACACCCCCATGCATAACTGACTATGGCCAAAAGAATTTAAAAATAAAAAAAACGTAACCTTTGATAGAGCAGCAAAACATTGGATATCGAATTTGTCAAATCTTCATACATGGAGAGCAAGCTGTCGGTTCGTTTGACATTAACAAGAGTCAAACATCACACTCTTCTGTAAGCGGACAACCACCGTATTTTCTTTGGTGTCTGCTAAGAGAATATCAACTGATATTCACTTGTGTCTGCCTAGGAGAGTAATTCTCGTAGGCGGACAGTTCTTACCAACAGACACTTTCTCCAAATCCCGAGGGTGTCCGCTAACGAGTGAGTTGACTGTATAACTTGTCGCTGTAAAACCCAATCGCTCTGACGAAGGGCTAACGCTCGAAATGTCAGCTTTTCAACTCTTAACGGTGGCCAATTTACGTTATCAACTCAGTTGATAATGAAAAATTACCCTGACTGTATAACTAAACCTACAGAGCGAGCTGGCATGCTACATGGACCATTTAGATGGGAGATATTTCCTGATATCACGGGCAACGAAAGAAGTTGATTGTTTACCTAAATTGTAATATAATTTGTAATTAATTTGTAAATATATTTTTAACTGTACATCTGATGTTGTACTTATGAAAATTAATGGCAAACTGGAAAGTGCTGTCAAATATTTCCGTATGTCCTTCCGATTTTGTATTTAGAGTAGGAAGTGTCTGTTGTCACACGTCTTTCAAGAGACGACGACAGATTCTCATACAATCCTTGTATAGGGAAATAATTCAGTAATGAAGATTCAAGTACTTGTAGACAATCTGGTAGCATTCTGATCTTCATCTGACCAGTCTGAGATAAAACTTTTTAAAACTGCAAAAACGCCCCACTGGTGCCAATAATAAGTCGACCTAAAGACGTGCGTGACATGCAAAACAAACGCCATAATCGGCAAATTTAGCGTCATGGTATGAGGACACTTAATGTGTAGTCCCGTGATTAGTCTTTGTTTGGTTTGCTTTATGTAAAATTTAATGTTCTTTATCGCTAGTTCCATTCATGTTGCAAGTTGGAGTGATAGGCACTGTAACATGTCGTGCGCGGTACCCACATTTCACCATGCTGTGATATATTTTTGGTATTCTTGAAGGTATGCGATGTCTAGCCCCATGGCTTTCAGTTTTCACTCGTCCTAGTACTCTATCAACAATAAGAATTTTACCAAAGCCAATAAAAGGATAACTTACCAGTTTGACTTCGGCTATTGTCATTATATTTATCCAGCAATCCAGCGAAAATTATTCCGGAAATATTCCCTTGTGCGCCAACGATGCTTTGAATCAGAAATCCTGCCAAACATACTAACCACGAACACCCACCGTCACGGCGGGTTTTTTCTGTAGCGTTTAGACCAAAATTTGGGCTTCTCGTATTGTGTTCATTTTCTTTATCACTTCCATTTCTCTTCATATCAGATTCCGTGAATAATCTTGGGCTACTCTTCCCGTAAACAGCTCAATTCTGGTCAGTTTGACTTCGTAATATTATGTATTCCCCTCGATCACTGACAGGTAAAAATTGACTTTGGTTTCT